TTGTTTAAACTGCTGTCCAAGTTTAATCGTGTACTGCTTGTATTCGTCATTGCAACCGCAAGTTCAAAAGTTGTAAATTTCCCGCAAGTACCGTTAACGTTTTCAGTTCTCAAAACTTGTCGTTTGAATTGCCCCAAAATTTTATTTCATAAATTGAAAGAAAAAGGATTGCTCTTTCTCTGCAATAGCATTTGCACAACGAAAGCCATGTACCAGGAAGGGATTTTTGCCGTTGAAAAATGGCAAAATTGATAGTCGCGATGAAACCGTTTTTGAGGGTGATTTTGAAAAAAAAATTAAAAATTCAGATTGGAATCCTTTGAAATTACAACAACGTTTTCATACAACGGAAGAGTCATAAAATCATCTTATATCGCAATAGTCATGGTATTCATGGTATTTGATTCCGTTTCTACTCACCACGCGAGGATGTGTGGTTTAAGGTCCGGTTTAAACGTCGCATTTTACATGCGCCGATTCTAATACTAATTTAAGTCTACCTGAATTAAAAAAGTTCAGCATTTGATTTAAACGTCGCACTTAATTGTGCCGAATTTAATTGCCGAGCGCGAGTGACAGCTTCATTCCCAGACTCCGCTCTAAGTCCCCCGCCAATATGGCTGACAAAATTAAGGAGGATATTTTGTGTTTTCGGCGTTTATACCTCTCAAGCACCATTTACGCTAACAGGAGATGGCGACTTATAATGCAGATGGCAGTGCATCATCTGCTAGCAAGAAGAAGACGGCTTCTGTATGTTTGTTCCCTTGTTATGCTTTTCCTATCGCAAAGAAATGCCATAGCACGTGTCCCAAGACCCCGATCGTGCCGTCGATTGATACGAAATGAAGGCTGGTGGCACAAGGTTTGGACTACATATTTTGATGTTCGATTCTTTCCCGCCAGTTTTCTTTGCGCACGTCATGTACCCTAAAACTGTTGTGTGGTAAAATATAATTAAAAATAATTTATGAATTTGATTCGGCGCATGTAAAATGCGGCGTTTAAATCAACTGTCGAACTTCAGTCGCATATTCGACTGGATCAGTCGAATATTCGACTGAACTCGCATTTAATACAAATTTGCCGAATTTAATTGATTGAAACGTCGCATTTTACATGCACTTAATTCGGCAGTTAGGTTCGGCGCATGTAAAATGCGACGTTTAGACCGGGCCTAAGGGCATCTCGGAGGTGAAAATTTAAAAAAAATTTTTTTTTTGGAAAATATCAATCACAAGAAACTGAATCTTGTATTTTCTAAAATAGTTTCATAAGGGCTTTAATGTGACAAAAGTTTGGGAGATTTCGATTTTTCCATCTTGCACACCTAACCGTGGTATTTACAGAAAGTCGCTCTTTTGACCGACAATTTTACGTCTGTCTATGCCAAGTGCTTCTCAAGTAGCAATTATTTTGGCCATCTTAGCGTCCAGTGAATAAAGCTGTGAAATGAAGGTATACTTTCAAGCGAGTAATTCATGGCTGTACATCATGATCACTCTAATGGCAGGCTGCAGCATCTAATCAGAATATGCACATGAGTTCACTACCGCAATTTACTTTTACTGACCGAGAAATAACGCTTGAAATCACCACAAAAGCACAAACCATCAGAAAGCACCAACAGAACGGACGTTTTTCGTAAAGATATTTTAAACGGGTGGCAAAGGCCTAAAAAAACTCCGAGTCAAATTGTAACTGTTTTAGATGTTTTATGTTCATTTGGAAAAGAGGAGGCGAGTAAAGAAAAAAAAAGTGTTTTTGATGCAAGTATAAGCGAGAGGTAAGTACTCATAGGCGAGCCGCATCAGAAACACCTCACCACAAAACGAAACTTTGTCATTGACATTTCAACCCCCGAATAAGTCATTTTCAAATTTTTTACTTTGTCAGCTTATCCTCTCCTTTTCTGAGCGAAAATACTAGCTACATTGGACAAGAAGGCACTAAAAAAGATAAAAGAAATAAAAGATGCTTCCGCTAGAGTATTTGAATCAATTATTAATGTTCCGACGAGGTTATGGATGACTGGTTACCGATGGGAAGTTGTCAGATCAACCAATCAACATTTATTAAGAACCACGTAATCTACTTTGTCTATATTTGGAATTTGACATGGACGCAACTCCGGTAAATAACAGGTTATTGGTAACCATGGCCGCGGAATTTGATCAAAGTTGTGTCTTCATCAATCGATGTTTCAGTTTCTTTGCGTCACCGAGTCGTGGGAATGATAAACTTCTCCAGTTTGACGGCCAAAAATAAAGACCACTGAGTAACACTAAACCGTCCAAAAATTTTTCATCTTCACAACATTTGTTTCTTGTTTATCTTTGTTAAGTTCCTTGGACATATTACTCCGTTAAATCTCTCAGCTACATTTCCCTCTTTTGTTCGTTCTTTATTGGCGTGCTTCTATTTGCTTCATTACCAACTGAGGACAATACTGGTCCTTCACGACAATTTCGTGTACCTCGTGTGGTTTCCTCATGCATCACCTTTCCTGATTTCGCAGTCAAGATGGCCGACACAAAAACGCACCTATTCGCAAAAAATCTGAAGCGACGGTAAATAGCACATGCATTTTAGCTGTAGATTTGGAGGAGTAATTAGTTTGTTGTTTGATTTGAACTTGTAACAAAAAGTCATTTTTGTATTTATGTTAGGTTGTTACGGGTAGCAGCTGGTACCAGCAACTCCTTTTCGTTATTATAAGAGTGACTAGGTCGTCAATAGCATAACTAGAGGTGCCTTAACAAATCATCTGTCAGCTTTATGGCATTAGTCTAAGTTTAAAGTTACGCGCGCGACAGCCACGTTACTCCCCTTGTCGATTTCTCACAGTTTACCATGTAACCAGGCCTACACTGAGTGTGACAAAGTTAACAAATCACTCTGAAAAACACCGCATAGTTTACACTCTGGATTTAGAAATACCCTAGACTTATTTTGATTCCCATCACTCCAAAGGGGCAAGTGGTGAACCTTGATTGGCGAGTAAAGTACATTAATTTTGTTGTTTACTGGAACTGTGATTAGTACAGCAAGTTTGATTATTAAGACAGGCATTTTCTTGCGTAATAATTATTGGTTTCTTCATCAGACAAAAAGATACACGTACTGGTTATTTCAAAAAGAAAAAAAACTGAACGTATTTGAGGGGCGGGTTCGTCCGCATACGTTAAGCTAACCTGGGATTTGAGTTTTCCTTTTATACTTCGTTTTTCAGATTTGCATGCAGTTAAATTGTTTCCATTTTAATTTCAGCCTTTTTGTTGTTTCCAAGAGGTTTTCCATATAAATCAAAAAACTGTTACACAGTTTTACTCGCTTTTTAAACAGTAACAACGAAAACCACACTGAAAAAGGAGTTTGTAGCGTCAGAACTGTTCTGAATAATCTACAAACGTGGGCATCCAACTTAAGGGTTCAGTGATGAAAATCTTTTCTCCAATGAAGATCAACGATTTAGCTAAACCAAATCGCGAAAAAAGGTTTGACTTAACCGGCTACTTCATCTGCACATTAGAAATACCATTTGTTAGGAACCATGTTTAAAAGTAAAGAAATTTTCACTTAAACACGAGGCCAGGAAGGCTTATTTGAAAAAAAAAAAAAAAAGGAAAAACTTATTTTTAGTGCTCGGAATAACAGTTCTGGTCAATTTCCAGATTTCTTTCGTCGCCTACGATAGGATCAGTTCCAGGAAGCTTAGCCAGTTTCTTCATGAGCACCGTATGCAATTTATTCAGCCGGGACTTCTTCCATTCGATTTTCTCCTGCTCGAATCTCTCGCGGGCGTTGTTAACCTTTTTAACAAGTTCATCTCTCAAAGCCTCGTTGTGAGTCTTCGCCGCGTCTTCCTGTTTTGACCTCAATGCGTCTTTTCCTGCTTTTTTCTGATAGGTTGAAACCTGAGCTTTTGAAGGATTCAAAATCTCCACAACATCGTTTGGTTTACCGGCCACCGGTGGAAGTTGCTCCACACAACTCTGAAGTTGTGCTATGGAACTTGGTGGTTCAACAACAATCACACAGTCAGTTTCCTTGTTTTCAAAATCAGCTGTCACGTTACAATTGGGGTCAGTGCTGTCTAAACTTGGAGGCGAATCTACTATTTCGATGATCTCAAATGGCTTAGCAGCCTCTCCTGCATTTGCAACCACGCCTGACTCAACAAACTCACGTGGCTTATCAACCGCTCTTTCCTTAGTAACTGCGCTGGACTTGGTAGCATTGGATGTGCTGTCGCTGATATAACTCTGTTTTCCACCCAAGCCCACGCTTCCTCCAGTTCCTGATTTAGAGGTATTGACTGCATTTAATGTGTTATTGACAATACTGTGTTCGAGTTTTGGAGCAGAGAACTGCGCAAGTGAAGTACTGAGACGCTGATCCGTTCTTAATAAACTAGTCGATGAAGTAGTAGCTGGGCTGTAAAACAACTGCCGACCTGAAATTAAGCCACTGTTCAACTGTCGTCCTTCGTTTTGAGTCAGACTATTGCCTAATGAGGCTGGCTGTGAAATTGTGACATTTCCGGAGATATTGGAATGATAACCTGAAACCATGTTTCCCACTTGTAAAAACCGCTGACCAATATTCTCTGATCTCCGTCCTTCGTCAATGATCGAGTTGGTCGCATCAACGTAAATGGGACGTCCCTGATTGATTACGAGCGCTGTCGCAGATTTCTTTGGAAGATGGATATCTCCACCTGTGGAACTAGCGCTTATACCATACGAAACCTGAGTAATTATTGGTGTCACACTTGTGGTAGATGAAGCTTTACAAATTCCTTGAGTGTTTTTGCCCACTGTTGTTGCCCGTTGGGATTTATCCATCTGGCCGCTGTTTTGTAAAGAACTGACTGATTGATGAGTTCTGTTTAAAAGCTGTCTTAGCACTTGGCAGTCCCTATTTGAGACATTTGACTGTCGGCACCGTTTCCAAGACTCGAGTATCTCCAATATTTTGGTTTTCCCTTTAGCTACTCCATAGGCGCGAGATCGAAAATTGCCTTGTAACGAATCAAAACTGCGATCAGGCGCGGTAGAACGAGACTGGAGGCGTGAAATGCTGCCGTTTTGCAAAATTGGCTGATTTAGGGAATTTCTCTGATCACTGCGATCTGTATATTTGTTCCTAATGTGTTGCTGTTCGGCATTGTCCTGTGATACAGAAACGGCGTTACCAAGACTTTGCAGTAAGTTTCCCATTTTTCGATATTCACCACTGTGGGTACCTGTGTTACGCTGCATATTTACAGCATCATAAGAATATCTCACGGCTTCAATTCCCCTGCTGGAGGAATCCGCAAAACCTGTGGGATTAGCCAAACTTTGTTGGACGGGTTTCTCACTTGTTGCAAAGTTATCGGTGATGCTCTTTAACAACTCACAACCGCTGTCGACTGCCGGGGTTTCCTCATTCTCTACTAATGGATTCCTTGTTCTTTTAGCGAGAGCAAGTAACTCGCTGTCGATAGTTTCTGTATTCAAACCTTGCCGATCGTCACCGATGGTACTTTGAGTTACGGAGTTGCCACACTGATTACGACTGTTTAGAATCACCACATCGCCACTGAGATCAATTGTAGTCACCAGATCTCTGATGACGTTAGATGATTGATTGCTCCAACTATTTGATGGGGTGTTTACAGTTCTTGAAGGAAAGTGTGCGCTAGAGCGATTGCCACCATTTAAGTTTTGAAGCAAACCATTAATGAGCAAATTCTGTGGTTCTGCACCAGCTTTAGCGGGAAGACGCAACTGACCAGCAGGTGATTTTTCCTGCCCAGCTTGAGGTCGTCGCACGCAACCCAATGATTCAGCACTTTTCCGGTTTGTGTGAATCAGGGGCTGCTTGCTTGGCAACTGCAAGGTACTGCTGACAGGGTGGGGCTCGTGAGCATTAATAGGTACGCATACCGTCTCTACCACGTTTGTTTGAGACGTTTGGATAGAATTATTTTGCAACGCTGGGTGAACAGTCCACCTTACTTCCCTAGATTGCTGCGTGGAGTTCTCTTGACATGGCATACTTCTTGACTGCCTCGTAGCAGCTGGCAAAATATTCCTTGTCTTACCTCGCTGAATGAAAGCAAATCTGCTGCTTTTTCTTTGAGACCTTGCGTCTGTTTCTCTTTGCTCTTTGGCTAAAATAGTCTTCTTTCCTTTGCTGTCAGTGTGAATTAAATACGACTCTCCTTCATGATGAAAACGTTGCACAGCAAACACTTCTTCTTTAATCACGAGAAACATATCTTTTGTTCTATCGTCTTTGGGAAAGATCAGTAAGAGATCGTTGCGTTTTGGTGATTCAACGGTTGCGACAGAGTTTTCCAGGAGACTGTCTTTCGAGGGAACACAAGCATCTGTACTGAATTGGTGAGCATCAGCAGCTTCTTTCTCATCACAAATCACTTCAGTGCTGTGTTGATCAGAAAAAGCTTTTTCATGAGGTATTGGTGAACTTGTCTGTTGCAAATTAGGAATTAGTTCAGATGCAGTTGAACTTGATGATGATAATACTGAGCGCACTCCTACAAGTTTAGGTAATAAGTCATGATCAAAAGCGAAACCTTCCTCTACTTCGGAGTTAAGATTCTTTAATTTTCTTAAAATCGGTGTTGTTGTCAAAGCTCTACCTTGCTCCCAAGCTGGAAAACCAGATCTGCCGGCATCGCTGTGACCATCAGTGGCGTGCCGCCGCGGAGACTCGAAATCGTCACAACCAGTAGACCCCTCATTCGTCACATCATTAGCATGAGATAAGTCTTGCAACTGTCCTCCTGTACTTTCAATACCTTTAATGTCTTTTTGTACCAATGGATTCCTGTTATTTGCAACGGCTTCACCAGAATCTTCATTTGAATCAAGGGAAGGAATATTCGTTTTGTTTTCAAGCAACTGAGCCACTTCATTGACAATATTTTGCAAGCTGGTTTTACTTGAACGCGAAGGAATTTCTTCATTCTCTGTTAAAGAATCATCTTTTTCGAGCTTAATGCGTTTCATAGGGGGCAAGTTTGTCCCATCTTCGCCACGACTCGTGTAGTTTTTCGGAGGTAAATCGAACGTTGGTGATACAAGCTGGCCAGTATTGTCTGTCGAATCATTCTCTTGTTTTACGATGCAGATGGGAAGTACTTCTTCATTTTCGACAGTTTCTTGCAAAAATAAACGTAGAGGCACTTCTTCGCTGTTTTTCTTTTGCATTTTGTCCGAGTGGTCAAACATCGATTCAAACTTTCCTTCTATTTTCAGCTATACATTAAATATTCGACTTCCAGGCCAAGTCAGTAGTTAGTGCTTCTGTTGACTTTTTATACGTGAGCCGCAACTTTTCCCAAGACTAAAACATCAAGATGACGGATAAGAAAGAAAGAGGAGGAAAAAGAACAAGTTGAAAACCGTACCGTGAAAATATAACAAAAAAAAAAAACAATAAAAATGACATCAGATTCCCACACCGGGAATCGAACCCGGGCCACGGCGGTGAGAGCGCCGGATCCTAACCACTAGACCATATGGGAATAGCCAACTGCACAGAGGTAATTTGAGAGATTGATTCTAATTACTAAGAAAAGATCCATGCATAGTCATACTGGGCCAGTATATGCTGATCGGTTTACACTGGCCCTTACACCCCGAAATACATGCTTCATGGGAATTAACTTGCCCATAACTCGTGCACATGGTTGGACTTTGAAATTGACGGTCATTGACCACTTGCAAACATTATATGTACTCACCGCGTTTTTAAACCCGTGTATTTCCTGTGGATTTTCCACAACTTTTTCCTCGTTGTTCCTCGACGTTGACAAGCTTCTCCCATGTGCTGTACTTGCGAATTCGAAGACTTAAAATAATTGGAAAATCCATCATGATTGAAAACAAAGCCCTTCTCTTTCTGGTGTCATGACCATGATTCAAATCTTTTCTACGCCAGATTGAATTCAAAAGTTTCTCTTTGTGGGTCGATTTTTTCGGTGAAGTGAAGCGATACGTCTGACAAACTAAATCCGTCGCTCTGGACTCTAATTCTTCCAGCGTCTGATCAATTCGCTTTTATTTGTTGCGGTTTTTTTCAGGCCCAGCGACGACGAATACGCATAGAAACAGAATTTGAAAATATAAAGCAATTGTAGGATCGTAATTAATGCACGAAATACGAATTATTTACCTCAGAAAAGTCTTTGTCCAAATAAATGTGCTTGAAAACAAAGCGGTTCATCAGAAAAGTGGCAGCTGTCTTATGTACCTTGGATTGACAACATGTGCTATTCACGTGATTTTTCAGCTTATATAAAAACGGCAATCCATAGCAGGTTTATTTTTCACATGTACTTTGACCGTGTGGTTGTCTACCTCATGATAATCACACGGCCGTAAAAATTTTGAATAATCTTGATCAGGACTAGTGGAAACTATTACGATAATATCATATTCACCCGAATCTCCGTTCTCTATGAAAAACACATCGAGAGTCAGACAATTAATACATTTAGGTCTCATTTGATAACAAAGTTGCTCCCTGAATTAGTTTGGAAAACTCAGTTGCGACGAAACCTGGCAAACCGATCCCTGGGGCCGGTAGGTCAATGGTTTATTCAGGCAAATCAAGCTATGCAAGAGGATAAAATTGTCGCTTTCATTACCGATACTCAGTCCATGGAAATCGCCGATAGAGAAAGCAGTGGCACTGAGATTCCACACATGCCGGCTTAACGCTCTGCTCTTTACACGAAAGCGTCGAGTCGATGTTTTGCTTCACGTTTCGTGCTAATTTTTTTTGGTTATGAACCTGTGACGCTATGACAAAAAAAGGCATGCCTCAACAGCTTATACATGGACGACTCTGAAGAGAACGAAAGTCTTCTGACGAAAGTCGGCAGACAGACTGGCACATGATGCAAGTTTGACAGGTGACTGCCAAACTACGATTCTTGTTTACGATAATTTAGGCCGACCGATCTACAAAGACTCACCGTGCTTAGATTGGTTTTATTCACAAGTACATAACACAGCCGAACTTAATACCACACCGATTTAATACTTACTACACCAAACAACTCTTGCGATAGACGACAAAAAGAATCACGAGGAAAAAATGTTCGAACTGAGGGTTGTCACGATTATGTCGATTATAATTCAAAATTTTCATTACTGTGGACTTCCAATGAGCCCATTTTACGAAATATTTTATTCGGGAATAGTCCTAGCACAAAGAAATCACCAATTCTACTCTTAAACACTTCGAAACAGAAAAAAAAAAAAAAACACGAAGTAACAGGTAAAAAAACACTGGTTAGAAAATAAAAAGTGTTTCTGGCAGGGCTCGAACCTGCGACCTTCCGCGTGTTAGGCGGACGTGATAACCACTACACTACAGAAACCTCCGATGTTAGGAGGGTGGAAAATAATTAGTATGGTTCGTACGAATAAAACAGTAACTTTACTGTAGCGAACTCAGCCGGCATATACTTAAAGAAAACTGCTCCACTCCAGGTCAGAAAAAAGAAACAAAACAAATTACAATAACGATACTGTTCAATGATGAGATTTGGCTTTTGCACCTTTTTTTAAAAGTAATCAAAACTATTCAATCCTGTAATATAACACCTGAGATAGTATCAGGTGCTGCCCAAATGAATAATCTTTTACTAATGAGGGAGTTAAACTAATCGACATTCTTCTCCACTTTCGCCAGTATATACTCTTGTGACAAGTTTTTATGTGTGTGGAGTCTTAATAGCAGCAATAGATAATCATGCCGGCAAAACAAAGAACAGAATTACTTGGTTTTCGCCGGGTAGCAGTCTCGATTCTGAAAAATATTTCTAGGGTAAAGGCAGGCTAGGCAACCACAGCGTAATGACATTATAAATACTACTAATAATGACATTATTACCACTCCGCCTATTGCCAATGACTTTTTCCACTTTTTTTTAGTCGTTTTAATCCGACTGATCTGTCACACAACTATGTTGAGTCTAGGTGTTGCGTGACACAAAAACTGTAACTAAAAAGTAAATAACGAGACTTACCGAATTTGTTCTTTTCTCTCTTCTCTATGAAAAGCTCAGCATAAAAATTCCAATTTATTACAAGTTAGTCAGATAAAGCCAACTGCTATTAGGTGACGTGTTCTCTGAGCATCTCAGAAATAGGCTGTTGTTTCAGGTAACAATTTCGCGTTGTCAGATCCTCGCCATCGTTCAGATCCTCGAGTATTAAAGACATCCACTCTTTCGTCGTTGACATCATCTCAAAATGAACTTCCATCAAGAAATTGACCTTGATTGTGATTGTGTCACGCTGACGCTCTTTATTTGCTTCCCCTGAAGCACTGTTATCCCTCCGAGGATAGTTTGATGGCGTCCAGTAAAGCCGGGTGAAACATCCTTCGTTTCTGTGCTTTTGTTTCAAGACTGGAGGTAACCGTTCTTAGCAGGCCGCTTTTTGAGACAAGTTGTTTCTCGATGCATGCTAGCCTTCAAACTATGTAGCACAGCGGTTAGAACACTGAGCTGTTGCCATCTTGACTTTCCCGTGAGGCCGTGATTTTTGTCGTTCGCTCTGTGAGGTGGCCATTTACTACAATGCAAAAGAGAAAAGCGCGGGATTACACAAATTGGCACAAACCCGCTTACACTCAGCGTAAATGAAAAATATTACCTCTGGAGATTCTTGTATTATTCAGAGAAACGATAAAGGAAATTCACATGATACGATAACACAAAAAACAGCATAACACGAAGATAAAGTTGCAAGAACACGCCTCACAATCAATACTGCTTAATGATGCATTGCACTACGTTAAAAGTCTCTCACAGTCCCTCACGGCCTGTAGGCCCGTTCGCCATTACCCAGCGGGGAGGGGGGTTCATAGCAATGTTTAGATGTTGAATTAGGACAGAAGATGATACATAAATGGCATACTGAAAGTAATGTTAATGATGTTTCAGTTCAATGGGTTAATAGTTTGTTATGTAACAGCATGAATGCGTCTGTTAACTATCGATGCTGATGGCTATTTGCAAGAGTATTCTTTATTTTGCAAGTGAAGGTTAGTATTGCTAATAAGAAGTGGAATATATAAAGAATTAATCAAATAGGATGATAAATAAGATTTAACATATCCTTAAAGTTGCGTAATAGCATCATCACTGTACGTTGCCAGCGTAGCTTGCGGTTTTGGGTGGGCCACGCAAGAGCTTGAACCGCACGCAAAAGCTCCAACTTCGTGAGGTAAATCGCGTGGGTTTTTTTATTTAGAAATTCCTAATGGCTTTGAAAAAGTTAAGATGGCTCAAAATGGTTTCAATATCTCTGAACGCTAATTCTCTGATGCAACTTTTTTTAAGATTTCCAACCTGGTCATTTGTTTCCTTGAAAATGTGGCCCTCCACGGGAAAACAAGGAACAAGGTGAACGCACAGACACGCTTAGCGATGGGTAGCCCCCGTAGCACATATTTTCGTTGGAAACCAAAGAAAGACCGAGAAACGGTATTTTCGGTAAATTTCGTAAAACAGGTCGTGCGTGATCATCGTTGTAAAGTACAATAATAATATTATCGTTTGTCTCACCATGTGGTCACTTGTGACGTGCATCGCGACGTTTCGACTGCATACTGCTGGTCTTCATCGGGCGCCTGATGAAGACTAGCAGTATCCAGACGAAACGTTGCGATTCACATCACAAGTGACACATCGCGAGAAAATTTGGGTGTTTTACTCGCTCCCGGCTGCATTTTTTCGCGCGACGTTTCTTTACTCCCGAACCCCACGGAAACGCTTGATACGCATGCTAAAACAATAGGCGGAGGGTGATAGGACGTGCCGGCTTCGGAGCAGCGTGTCGCATTTGCACGCCTAATTAAAATTTTTTCATTGCTCGCATCGCACGATGAAAACAAACGCGCGTTTGTTCAAGCGCGCAAAATGACACGGCAACCGCGTATGAAATTTTCCTTACTTTCAATCCAATGCCACACTGAGTGTGTCGATCGTAATCTCTAAATGTATCTGAGTCATACTTTTATAGCAGCACTGTTGGCAGAAAACGGCATTTCAAATTATCCAGATGCCTCTTCCCGACCCAAATGTACTCCATTTGCCAGTTCTTCTTCCGAAAAATCTCATGTTTTAATTATTTTATGCGTACTTTGGCGTTCACGAAGCTCATTTTGAAACCTTCGGAACGCTGTTTCTCGCCTCCTTCGTTTTTAGAAAAACAATTTTTTTTGGAGCTGATTATGTAAAGAAATGAGCTTAACGAATGATCGACCTTGGAGAAGTCCAGGTCATAGACAGTTTTGTCGAAACCATTTCCTGTGATATGATTGGTCTAGACAAAGCCAAAACAAACAGAGGGGACAGAAAGAGGATTGGGACGATACTTTTTCTTGCTAGCTCTTCGTGGCGGCCATGTTGAATGCGAGGGGACGGCAGAACATTATTCAAACTTGCAAGAAAAAATCATTGACTAACTTATTTCTGTATTACAGTACTACAAATCTAGGAAAGAGTACCATATAACCCCCCTACATTAATTATGCATTCCACTTCGTTGTCTTCCACGACAAAACTTTAAAAACAAAGTCTACTAGTCTGAATGCATAATTAATGTATGGGGTTATATGGTACTCTTCCCCAAATCTATAATTTTTGAAAGAAATGTCATCCCTATTTTGTGCACCCCGCAATGTGTTGCACGTACACGTATTTTGCTCGCAGTGTTTTGTCCTCAAATTCTATCCGTTTCCGTTGAGATGTCTAAAAGACACCTCTCGGAAAGTAGCGACCGATAAAATAACATATTTACTTCAATTTCATCTGCAATTTCCAACTGAATGTGAAAGGAATGTCACGTAATAGAGGTAATAACAGCGGACAAAGTTCAACCAGCTTTAGTTGCTGGTTGCCTTTTGGAGGGCGCCCTTTAGCTTTTTTCGGACGAGGGTAGTCTTTTTCGTGACGAGATGTCCACAAAAAAAAGATTGTTTGAGGTCGAATATTTATGTTTTGATCGGTTTTTTCATGAACTCGATAAAGCGTTCGTTTGCTCGCCGAGCAGACCCATTTGGGATGAATTTCCTCAGAGTCCAGAGTTGCTGGTGGTTTGTAGTGAAAACGAAGACCCCTGAAAGCTGATACCTAAAAGCGCGTGACATCTAGCACATTAGTTTAGATAAAGTTTTGAGCATGCCACACAAAAGCTGCCTCGTCAGTCTTTGTTTTTCTCATTAAATATGCGCATATCCATGAGACTGGTGGCACGCTTAGAATGCATTGTCATCGCACGCGAGTCCGTGCCATCATATTATTCCCTATTTTGACGTGGGGGGTCACAAATAGTACCGAAAACAAATCTCAGTTCTTTCTCGACGTGTCGGGTTGTTCTGAATCGAATAGAAGAATATTATGAAACTCTGCGGATAGATGAACCTCGATATGTTGATGGTATCTGAACACGAGGGTGTGGTGTTTAGCTTGTGTGTTTAGTCTACCAATTTCAGGTCTCGGGCAAATTCCAAGCTTCCTCTTTTGTAAACTATGCGCATATATGCGCGTGAATGACAGGGGAAAAAAAACAACTGTCTATAGTGACCTGAAATGGTAAACTAAACGTATAAGCTAAGGAAGGTTGTTGACCAGTTTGGCACTAATCTAAAGGAAACTAACGAAAAAGAGTGATTGTGATGATCCGGCGTCTAGGAATTTCTGTTGTAGATAAACAAGAATTTAAAACAGTTTTAGCAAGCCGTAATTAGCAACATTATTGCCCTCTGGCTAGAAATTAAAAGTTATTGTGAATCAGCTGTTTGAGTGCGTTGTTTTCGGTCGCCATTCAAAGCCAGCCGTCCTTCACTTCGACAAAAGTTAGCCACGTAGCCACTTTGCTTCTGTTCTTGCCAATTAAAAATTATACGCGCTCAGTATGACTGAATCTACTTTTGTTGAAGTGACTGGCCGATTCAATATAAGCGGATCCAAGTACAGATTCACACTAAATAAATTAAATTTAAATTAGCCCTACTGGCCTCGTTCTCCAGTACAAAATTCAAAACAGTACAAAATTCAAAAGAGTACATTATCTCAAGCGAGGCCAGAAGGGGCTAATTTAAATTTAAACAAAAGAATATTTATACGGCAGCCATTTATGAAAATTGACTCTATTATTGTTGGACAACTTTATAAGATGGGAGTAGAAATACAGGGAAAATAAAATATTGAGACCGCGTTATTGCGTTTGAGCGGCCTCTAAAGTCATTTGAACCGCTGACGATTTGACCAATTAGGATCTCTCACGATGTTCCATAAGATCATGAGATCTCAGTGATTGCGGTTTCACGTAGTTTACCGCTTCAGCTACACCTATTATACCTCTTTCCTACGATTGGCCAAATCACACACAAATTAGAAATCAGTCGTCGTAAAAGTTAATAAACAGTACCTCATCAAAAAAGAGAATGCATTCATTATTGGCGGAGTCAATGGTCTAACGGACTGATCTATCCATTATCCCGTGAAATAGTGCTGAGCAGATAAAATTGAATGAGACATCGAGGCATAAAACCGTGCTAAATTTCGAAATTGACTCAGGTAAGTTTTTAGTTTTACGGTAAGTTTATTACACACTGACTGAAACTTATGGAGCTCGTCATCGTTGCGAACTGCAACATCCTTCATACTTTGCGACACTGGCTGCCAGTTTATGCAAATTATTTCTACTTGGATCAGTTCGTTGCTTTGAAAACCACAACATACTGATAGAGGTAGAAGAGTAGAACAAACTGTGTCACGTAGTGAAGGATTTTTTCGCGACTATTCGGCTTTAGCTGAGCGAAGGTTTAATGAGACACGGTAAATTCTTAATCATGCTCTTCAACTGCCGCATTCCAAAGATTATTCACACACCTTTGGGTGAGATCTGGCAAGAAAGCCACGGGTTCATGCGCCTGTAGTTTCATTTGTAAGAGGTAACTTTGAATTGAGGCTGAAAATAAAATAATAATAAGTTAAACTTGATATCACCAGTTCCACAATGACATAACATCTCGCCTTCAGCGACGCGAAGTGATGACGTTCGATGTTTGATTGCGTTTAAAACTTGTATGATTCAACTAAAAAGCTTTTCTGTTATAGAAAGAAGGGACTCTCAAGAAGTAAGAGAGAAATCAGCTTGAGTAAGATTTTACTGATATATACAATAAATGCAGAGGTCACTATTCATCATGCATTTGAATAGAGTAATCACTCATAAAGTTTTTAGTGTTAATCCACTCCACTTGAATTAAGTTCATGTTCACTATGGAATCGAAAGGATTCAGTGTTAGTTTTGCAAGCTGCATTTACACGCAAAGATCGTTAATTCTTTTATCATCATTGGTGAATTGAGACAGTGACATTAAACTTTGTGTGTGTTTAGAGATAATTTGGATATATCAACAAAGTTGAAATGGTAAATTGGCCACCGTAACGATTACAAAAGCTGACGTTTCGAGCGTTAGCCCTTCGTCGTCGCTCCGACGCAGCCCCAAACAGTTTCTTTAGAAACTAGCAGCCTTTACTCATTTGTGTGTGTTTGTTGTTTACACTGAAATGGAAAAAATGTAGAATTCTATTGTCAACATTAAAACTCAGTCAAGCTTGATAATTTGATCGACTTCCTGTAAAGCTGAAGCGAGGTCCTGATCAGTGTCGCATACCTGAGAGATAAAAAATTTTTACCTTAAACAATCAAACTTAAACTGCTGGTCATAAAAAAAGTTAACCGTAAAAAAATTGTTGTACTACAACAATGGGAGATATTAATCGTTCGCCTATTAGGGTCGTGGAATCGCTTGAAATTTCTGCACAAACAGTCTGACGCTCTTGAGGAGTTTGAAAGACACGTTTCAATAGAAATTCTATAAGTTTTTCTGACCTCCGGGCATTTACTCACTTACGACCCAACTCAGCTGCAATGAATTAAGCCACAGCCTATTGTCATGGTGTTCGATTGTTCTTTCCTGTAGGTGGCGCTAATCATGCTTCACGCCAATGGACATCCGTCGTTTCTACAATCCTGTGTCGACCATAGAAATTTTCATTTTACTCACTGTAATAATCCTCATTCCACGGTAAAATTTGCAACATCCAACGGAGTGTACCCTGCTGTACAGAAGATTCCACGTGAGTAGATTATGTAAAGTGTTCGTGATCTTCTTTATTCTTATTTATGCGATTTTACACCGTGTAACCGTTGTTCCATGATGAGGAAATAATCTGTGATTAACGTATCAGTGCACGATATTTGGTTCGTGATTACGTCTTCTCCACAAAGCTCACTGCCTCTTGTTCCTCATTCTTTTAAGCGCAAGCAAGACTTTTAAAGTTAACCCTAAGGGGGTGGAAGAGGATTGGTTTGCCGGCCTTCTCCATAAAGTTCCCTGCCTCTCGTTCCTCTTCTAAAGCGCAAGAAAACTCTTAAGCTTAGCTCAAACGGGTGGAAGAGTGTTGTTCCGCGCTCCGGAACAACACTGTCCTCTTTCCCTTCCCCTTCCTCCTTACCTCCACCGAAGGCACACATTCGCACACCCCACCCCTCCCCTCCCCCTGTACTCTTATGCCTTGACTCGTCCTCAGTCGCCCCAAAATTGTGCAGCGGACGGCAAAGTAGGATAGAAAAAATGTTACAGGAAGAGGAATCTTCCTCTATTGCTATCTTCGCACCTCTATCCTGCCCGCCTTGCTTGCCTCCGACGTGAAAATGACTGGGGACAAGTCAGCTCTAATGCTATTGTTGTGAATATTCATGCGAAGGAGGATGAGATTTCTAATTCGGGGCTTACAAAATTTCCTTGGGTGACTTCTTCAAGCGCCATGTAGGAAATGGCACTTAGATCACAACCTCTGCTTCAAAGCAATCAGTTATGTTCGATATGCATTAGAAGCTTCTGTTACACTGGTAGAGTGGGTATAAATAGATATAGGTTGTCCAAGCTTAATTCTTTTCCTCACCCGCGCTTGCGAACTCAGTGCTCTGTCCGTCAGTATTTTTAAAACGGTACCTAAGCAACAGCCAGTATGCTGGGATGGGTCCAAGGATTTTGGTTAAGGTGGGGGGGGAGGGGAACACTTTATATTGATTAGTACCATGCGATCTTGCTGTTGTAAGAATTTTGGTGTCAAACAGTTAAAGGGAAAGAATGGTCTAGAAAAGTTTACTTAATTGTAACAAAATTTCCTTGCCTGCATTTTCCTAACTGGCTATATATTAATTTGAGCTGGAAGCGTTTTAGTTGCGAACAATAACGTTCCAAAAATCGGCGTTTTCAAATTGAAATCCGCCATTTTTTTTTTGACGAAACTATGACGCAGCAATAGTCAAGCATGCTAAATTATATCCCTACCGAAGTGGATGCAAACAAGGAAAACAGCGGCGAGCAGAGCGCTCACTTATTTAGCCGAGAGGGTATCTATAATACATCCATTTATGTTTCAAACGAAACATGACTCGTCTTCAGGGGAAGGAGATACCTCTGTTGAGGAGAAAAAGAGAGAAACTCAGGAAAACGAGTTTCAAGAAGAAACGTCGACCCTCTCAGTCGCTCACGTCTTGGAAATTGCGAGTGGTTCTCTTGCGGCAACTGTCGAGAGAAACCTACGGAAAACGAGAATGTATACTTCTAAGAATTAAATGTACTAGGACACCGGATTAATTTGAAAGGCAAAGGTTTTTTCCTCAAATAAATCCAAGCTGTGGAGTTATAGTTATTTTCAGTTGCTAAAGAAGACCACAGTGCCGGCGACGGATTCATTTCACATTACTACCTCGGATTGAGACGAATTATTTTTGCAGTTACAGGAACCCAGCTTCGGTGTATAACTAAACAAGAGCCATTTGGAATTAAGAACAGCCCCAGTTGACATGCAACAAGTTAGAAATGATAGACTTGAAGATCATTCTTCGCGTGCGTAAACACCGACAAAGTTGATTAGCAACATTTAGTTGCCAAAATTAACCCAGACAAAAGGCAGAAGTTAGTTGTTACGAATTAGATTTTGTTTGTTTCAGCATTTACCTTTAATTTTTAATGGTGTTTTTATCTTTATCGCTTGTAATTAGCTTCAACGCAGTATTTTTCATTTTGAACTGTTTGAAGTGTCGCGACTTGTGACGGAGAAGTACGTATAGCTTTGTCATTTTCGACTCGCGTCGGAAAGTCGCCTTTGTCATACAGTGTTTACTTTAGAAATTACCTCACTATAACTGAAGCTAAAATGAAACTTTCGATTTCTTTTGAAAGCATAAGCATTGCACAATTAAGTTTGAAGAAAAATATATTTTCATATTATTTTCATGGTGTGCAATCGTTATTATTTAGTGAAATATGGGCGCCTGCCCCACGAAGGATAATTTATATTTGTCGCAAACGTATCTGTCTTGATGATTTTCCCGCAATGTATCAAATGTAAGTTTTTTTCGCACGAGAATGCGACTGGTGGAATAGAGAAATTTACTCGGTGGACTCACAACATAACAGACTTGGGAAAGACAACATATATTTATACACTGCTTGCAAAAGCGCACGATGTTGAAAATCGACTTTGGTCATGGGTGGCGACAGAGAATTTACCACACACGGTGTACCACCATTTTGAGCTTCAATTTATTCGCCTACAATAAAATGGTTTGAAAAAATTCGTAGAATTAATAACTGAAATTTGTGCTGAAAATGGAAAGGTAAGCAAAGTTTTCAGTTCGAAGCGAAGGTAACAAGGAAAACTTACTTTCCCGTATATCTCGCTGGAAGTCTCCTTTTCGTTTTGGCAGTTCTGAGGTTTTGGGAAGCCATCCTCGCGGGTTATTTTCGCCGGCTAACTTTTTAATATTTCCCTTTCCGGTAGCGTGTGGAGGCTTACACCTTTTCCGTTTGAATTTTAGTATGTATTTTGACATTCAACCATACGACAGTTCACCTCATTTCAACTTTTAGGAGTACTAAAAATTGTTTTCACAAAGGTCAAACAAGTTAAAAAAGACAGAGCGCCGAAAAGTTAGACTATTGCTACGTCACAACTGGTGTAATATCCAATATGGCGCTTTTCTAACCAGGAAACTTGTGAAAATGGGCAACTTCAAAGCGCTCTTGTCGCCAATACAAAGTAAACTGGACAATATGACTGTTATTTTCGAACTCCTGAGGAAAAATTCTTCAAACAGAGATAAACTTTTTCTAGACCGTACTTTCCCTTTAAGTAGTGATGGGGGGGGAGGGGTTTGGTCCCCCCCAGACCCATACAGTCCCTGGATCCACTACTTGCTAAGCGCCATGACTCTGGTAAGAACTATGACCCAAATAACAACGTAAGGACACAAAAGAAATATGGATACTGACTTTTCTTCTTTGTTTTCCTCTAGCTTTCCCTTGTTTATCGACAATGAAAGCGAAAAGTTACAGCACAGCATCTGATGACTTTTTCCGCAAAAACCGTGATGGCCTTGGACTGTTCTTGACTAGGGAGGAAAAAGCGTTTATGAATAGCCAATTCTGCCACGTTTCATCTTCAACTGAATGCGCAATCGCCTTAAAGCCAAAGGATTCCACAACTGTGACGTACCATCACGTGGCACCTTCCATATGCTCCAGAAAAACTACAGCATTATCTCTTCCATCTCGTACCCCTGTAACCCACGATTGTGGCCTTGCTGGCCCCTGTTGTGGCAGTACAAGGCGAGGCCTTGTGCCTTACTGCAACGATAAGCTTCCATTGCCGGCCAACTGTAACCACGAAATTACGAACCTTTGCATGAGAGTTTCTCAGCATTCAACAAAAGCAATTTTAAATGAAGGCGCCAGTCAGTACGAAGAAACAGGCAAGAGATGTGCAGCAAAAGATGGTTCGATTGAGGGATGTATCTCACCTGTCAGGCAAACGGATAAAAGTATGGTCGCCGTATATCAGGCCTCTCCTAACGCAATGAAAGGCTGTGGCTTACACTGCTCACAAGAGCAGACAGGGATGATACTTCGGGAGCAGTGTCTATCTTCGCGACTTCCTCAAAAGTCCACACCAATTCTTACTTCAACATGCAACGGAGAAGAGAAAAGACCCAGAATTTGCTCCGTCGACTTTAATTATTCATTAACCGATTCTGGAACTCAAGGAAAACAAGGAATTGACATGGGAAACGCTGCTTCTCTCTCTGTTAAACGAAAATCTGTACCTGTAGCAGATCGTGATCATTATACTGAACAAAAACGCAAGAGATATTACTTGGGTGATAATGCGCTCGAAATTATGAAAGATCAAGCATCGATCGAGGTTTCTAATCCAACAGATGCTTGCAAGACGCCCCTAAGCGAACCTCTTCCTGAAGACTGTTTGTATAGCAAGGACGCAAACCTCAGGATAAGGAGGTTCAGCGAGCTTAGCCGATCGCTTGAAGTACTGCCGTCAACTAGTCAAGTCAAGGCCATTACTTCCCAAACGTTAACTTTCACTAAAAACACTTTGGGTACTTTCCCTTCCAGTGCTCACGTAAACCAGTCATATGGAGTAAGAAAATCGCTCGAAATAGGCAAGTCCCTGGATAGAACCAGTGCTATCACTTCTGGTAATGTAGCTCTCGACATTACCACTTCCGGTGCTCTCACTTTTGATACGGCTATTACTTCTGCCAGGAACAGCAAACCCGGAAGTAACGATACAAAATCAACGAATCAACCAATGATAATTGACCTGACCAATGAAACTGACAACAAGGGAACTAATACAGTTACAAGTCGAGCAGGAGACCAAGATTCTGACGATGCTAAATCCACAGAGCGCCGAAAAGACATCGATGAAATTATTAGCACGGTAAAACCCATCCAGCGAGATTTGTTGGAAAGTGACAAAGCATCTTTAAAGAGCGGCGTTGCTTTCGATCATGACTTTATGCCAAGGCTAATCGGGGTGCTTCCGTCAGCTGCTGCAAATGTTATATCGAGTTTAGTGACTGACAAATAAGAGGACTTTCCGGTTCAGTTCTTATATCATATTATTATATTATTATTATATTATTGTTATTATTATTATTATACGGGTGCAAACTGGATCTAGGCAACGGCAAAATTCATAGAACTCGACCTCTTTAAAAAACAAAGTACCCCCTTCGTGTCTTTTCGTTAAGTATGACACAAGTCCTGGTCACAGGAAAACACGATAACAAAAAAAAGCCAACTAAACCAATTCAAATGGTTCCCAATTAAGCAATGCAACATGGCAACAGAGTTGGATTTTTCCTACGTACAGGAAAGCAGCAAATTGCTGCAACCCGGAAATAACTCATTGATATAATTAGTAGCTTTAAAATAACTCGTATCTTTAGAATTCAGTTTACTCTCAGTCCCCACCAACCCCTCTCCCCTTTCAGCTTGAAGGCTGAGCGAACCTAAGTAAATGAAATTGAAAGATCAAACAAGCACGTGATATGTACATATTAAGCTGAATGAGGTCATTTCATTTTGTATAATAAACGTTACGCTATCAAGTAATAAAGTAGTTTTTCTTGAATGTTTTTGCGAAATCGCCTGTTACAAAGTTCTGTCAAGCCGAGCGCAAACTGGCCGAGTCTTCAGCGACAAAAGGGGAAAAAACAGCGAAAACAGAAGCAATCATAGATAGAGTTTCAAAACGGAATTATTCTAACTATCGATATCTAGTCACGAGTCTGATATTTCAGTTTCCAACAAAAATCAGGTGGATTTCCTTTTCTTGCCCAGCTTATAGCTTGAAGTATAATATTACGCTAAAACTCCACGTTTAAATCAAACTATCCGGCATGGTTGCTTTCCATGATTATTTTCACTGTCACCTTTATAAGCGCGAAAATTGTCATTCGAAAATGAAATTTCGTCGATTTTGGGTAAAAATGAAAGAAAAATCTTACAAGACATTTAACGTCTCTCTCGAACTGTCGTAATCAATCCTTTTTACTTTCATTCGTTTTAATTGTTCACGAGGCACATGTCAAAAGCAGCGCTTGAACTTTAAAAACAAAAGGATGTCTTACTTCAGTTTCATGTTCGTCATGATGATATTTATTTATAACTTGTAAACATGCGGCTTCCTGCGACTTCAAATAAAAGATATGTTTTTGATCGGCATTCGCCTTCTGGCTGTAAAGATCGTGGTCTGACGCGATATTCGTGACGAACAAGCGCATGGTATAGTTTCTCCGACTGATCAATAATTATAGGTAAGTAATTTGTCTTTATTAAATTATGCGAGTGTAGACTTGGTTATAAGAGGTTTGTGAAGATTTGCGTATCTTTAAAAATTAAGCCTAACTTTTAAAGGTCATTCGTGCAATTCTTGCTCTAGTTTTCCATTCCCAAACCATCCTCGTCGTATATTCCGATTTCTTCTCCCGCGCTCATTGTTTTTCTATCGAATAAACAAACATTTTTGGTCCCCCTTCGCGTTGAAGATAGTCAGGTATTGTAGTCTCTGAACTAAGTTCATCTTGAGACGAGAATGACAACCGGAAGTCGAGAGTTCTTTTCACCAGCGCTTGCTAGAGATCTTCTGTTTGTAGTGTTTAGTTTAAAATGAGAAGACAAGGGCTTTCCGGTCGATAGGCTGTCATCAAAGAGCAACAGAAATAGATTCCTACCCTTTCCGGGCACCGCTCATTTCACAAAAGGCTCATAGTGTAATGCTGAGTTTCCTAGTTCATACAATCACGTACAAACCGACTCAAACATAGCGAGATTTTCCTCATTCCAAATTTAAACTAAAAAAAACTCCATGAAAGAACCGCGAAAATGGCATGATTTTACGCATACTATAGCGGTTAGCTTTTTCAAGAAAGCCGTTTGATTGTCAGTATCTTTTCATGTTGTTGAGTCCCTGTAAGTGGCGCGATCAGTCTGGCCGCGCATCAAATTTTAATCGTTGCGGTTTTATATTACGCAAAACTAGCTTGAACGGACTTTCAAATCATAACATAATTAGTCGGGAACGATCTAGACAAAATAATGGACGATACGTGCTTGAATAACACGCTAAGCAAGATTTTACCCAGATGGCTTCAGCAAGGACGACACGGTAGCAAAATACTTCCTGCATCGCATCACGTCTCAATGTAAAGACCGTTAGAAAATGACTTCAAGAGGAAGAGGTACCCAAAACAAATTCGTGGATCGAACTTCAAAACTGTTTAATCACACGGGAAATTTCGCAAAAAAAATATTCCGACAAGGAGAAGGTTAACTTTTGCATTTAATTTGTTTAAATGCATCCAGCCTGAGAATAACCATTCCCTTACTCTGCTCCCCCCCCCCCCCACTTCTACAGTCTTGACTCCTTTAGGAAGCAAATAAACTTTGTAATAACTTCCCTCTCCGCTTACACTTGAATTAGAAGATATCTGATATTATGGTCGAGAACTATGACCGCTGCTTTCATGTCGTATAAAATTTTGCATAGCTGATTACGTTCTCTGAATCTGTGGATTTGAAACGGAAACGAATTTCTTCGAGATTCGACACTTGCCCATGTTTTGCATACAGCAAATATAATTATAAAAAGTGTTGCAGAAAGCAAAACGAAAGGTTCATTTCGGTTTTGTTTTACTTAAGTTTCCATCACCTTGAAGTTAAAAATCAGTGAACTAGGTGATCGGGTCTCGAGACAAATTTTACCTTGGATAAGTGAGGCTTTCCATAAGCATTTTATGGTTTCTCTCTCGGTTTCCTTGGTTGGTTTCGAGCCTCTTCACACGAATCATGACTTGTGCGGAACGCAAGAAACAAAAACAATGCAATTTAATGTGATATTCGAATCTATGAGATAACAGTGATAATTTTTATAAAATGCAGTGTCATTTATCAATGATGACATCCGCGTTTCTTGAAACATGGATGTTTCGGGGAAGCTTAAATTTGTACGAATTGGAGAAAAAACGCAACGAATTCTCCTATCAAAATTTATCCACTTTTACTTTCTAGCTAAATTTACCTGTCAAACTACGTGTTGAACCTACGCGGGGTTTAAATATTGAGACTTAAAAATTAAAATAAAGCCCTACAGTGAGATGAGACAAATGCTTCTGTCACGAAGACAACTAATTGGTGAAGCAACTATCTTTTCTTATTGTTTTACTTATATTTCTCTTTTTGTATCTGTTAACGCTGAATTGGCAGATTATTTACAGATTGTTTACGAAAGAAACTGTAATAAGGCTTGCGCGCCAAACTTAGCAAGGTGTTTTGGGGTAAGTCTCTCCCCAGAAATCATGCGCTGTTTGTCGCCTTAGCTGCAGATCACGTGAGTAGTACAAGATCAAGAAACACATGTCGACGTATCAATAGAGTAATCACTGTTAAGAGTGACTTGCTGGTTTTTTTTCTCTAATGTCAATCATGAGACAGCCTGGACCATAGCAATTTAAAAACAAAACGATGATCGATTTAAGAGCGCAACGATTTCGCAAATTCATTCACTTTCCATATATCGGCTAAGCATAAGGCAGATCGCAAAAAATTTCAAATGACGCCGGCAAAACAAACGCGATTGAAAAAAAAACAGTTGACTTCCTCTTCGTGTTTTTAAATTCAAAGAAGTCGATTATAGTACTCTTTTCAGCTGGTACCAGGATGTGATTATTCAAACAACATATTTACGTCGACTTCTGATAGGAAACAAAAGAATTTCACAGACTGATTCAGTGCGAGCGGAAGACGCAGCCGGCATAATACTATCAAATTGAATTTCCTGGAACGGCTTTTATGTTCTTACAAAGGAGAAGGCAGTGAGCTAGAGGAGGTAAGTAATGATAGCTTATTTGGCGTCTCCAGCTAAAGGTAGTGCCCGATAACGATCGTTAGCGACGTATAGAAAGTATTGGGCAAAGTATAGGGTAGTTTCACATTAGAGAATTGTGACGGTTTTTATTTTACTGACGACGCGAAACTGCAAGCGAAATAAAGGGTCGCAACCATTAATTAGCCTGCTCTCGCGCTACTTTCGCTACTTGCGTGCGTCAGCCTTTAAACGTAGTCCGCTCGTGAAGTCGGAGCGCCGTTCTTATCCGCTTTCCACTCAACATCGCTGATTTTGAGCGCGTGCTACGCCAACCAGTAAAGAGAACAATGTCCAACCGTCCATCGCGGCCAATACCTGAACTATTTCGCTTGGGTCAGTTCTGGTTGTGTGTTCATAAGATAAACAATGGATTGGGTAAACACTCCTGGTAGAGTAATCAGTGTGATCCAAATTTCATACAAGAGCTCGTTCGTTCAAATTTTTTTGCTTTTGTGCGTTATATTATAAAAATCAGAGAAGCGTAAGAGTACAATGTGTAGCCTGCGAGACGTGTCCTTTATGTTGTCACGCAATCTTCTCTGCTCCAAGAAGTGGGAATGGGGAAATGAACCGGAAGTGCTTTAAGATTACCGGTGTCCATTCCCCTGCGTATTCACATCAAGTAACTTAGGGAGGACCTCTTCTACCATTTTAAAGATTCGAAAAACTATCAGCTGAATTAAAAATCTTATAAACCGCTGAATACCAAGACCTAATGGCTGATTGATTTCACATAAGGCCGCAGCTAAAAGCGATTTTAATCGACCGATTTAAATTGACCTTGAATCGACTGGCATGAGGAAGTCCCCGTCTACTAAAACAAGAAACTGAACTTTTAATTAATCGAAAATGATCGATTGAATTACGAATGAACAAGAGGGAAAACACAAGAACTTTTCTATTAGTTTCGGATCGATGAAATACAGAACTTTGTTGACTTTGATTTAAAGCGGTGAACGTAAACTCTTCTGTTTTAGTCGAGTCGTCGAAATTCTGTCGAACAGCCACCCTCCCCTCTCCTGAGAAGTCGAAAATGTAGCAATGCTTCTGTTTCCCTAACCCTTCCACTCACACGAATGATCAACGAAGAAAATCTTCATAGGGTCCACAAAGAAGTATATGATTACATGTACACGTTGGGAGAAATCGCCTTTAAATCTTCGTTGTGCAAGGGGTCTAAGCGTTGTTGTTGTTTGCTTTTTTTTTAATCTTTACTTTGTCTTTTTTGTAGGTTTCATATCTAACTCCATGAAAACATCCATGAGAGTGATTGACTTTTGAAGAAAATCAGCTACTTCAGCGTGTAAACATGCAGCCACAGCAAAAGGAAGGGGAACATCCATTTCCAAGTCCTACGAGGAAAAACGAAGGGCCTCTCCTTCTGTGTGATGTGAAAAAAGAAAACTCCCCCAAAAAGGAAACTTGTATCAATTCATCCAGTTCGTTTAATCCATCTGTCAAAAGGTCTTTGACTGACAGCGAACATGATATGGTTCCGTATCATCTGAAACGTTTCAAACAGACTAAGGAAGATTCAGCATCCTCGGAAAATGGTGGCGGTATTTCACTCTCAAGTAAAGCGAGTTTACAGCAGATTGTCAGCGAGGTGGCTCGTTCGCTCCAAAGGAATAACTCTGTACCAGCCGCGTCGTTTCGAAGAAAGAAAACGTTTGCCTGTGGAGACTCCGATGGGACCTCGTTACATTCCGTTGGTATTATGGATTTACAGCGACAGGAAAAGGTTTTTGGTAGTTCGCCTCGACTAGCTATGAATGCAGTCCAGGGAAAATTGGATGCTTTACCCTTTTCCGCCAGTTGCCGAGGGGAGAAGATCTCAAAACCTCAGGTTAAAGCAGCTCATCCAGTTCTAAGAACACTAAATTGTCGCGGCTCCAGCATCAATGAAGGTGTTGCGATTGATCATGATTTCTTTCCTAAACTTGTCGGTGTACACTCGATTTCATCATCATCGGCATTTTCACCCCAAAAGGGAGCAGCTGGTCGTTTTAACCAAGATTTTGGTTCACCGCTGCCCAAAGAACTTTCACAAAAGGCAATTACGGGAGACTGCTTGCCTGTCGAAAATGCAGGAAACTTTAAAATTGGAACTCTAAAGTACGACAGCGAGACGGACAGTGACCTAGTGAGTCCTGTTTCACCCAATAACAATGAATCTGAAGCATTCCCCCTGTCACAATCCAATCAGAACCAATCATCTGATGAATCCCTTTCTCGTAAAGACTCCAAATGTCATTCGCAGGACAAGCCAAGGGCCTTACCCATAATTCCTCTTGTTCTTACAACAAGTATCGCTCCGCTTGTGTCCACAAGTCCTTTCATGGATGCAAATCCTCCAGGTGGACGTGAAAAGGCGAAGTGGCCTCGACAAACTTCCAAGCAAGTCGCTGAAATATCTACCGCCAAAAGTCTTTCATCCTGCTCACCGGAAGATCGCGATGCATCTGTGCTCGCTCACACTCGTCACCGTCCAAGAAAAAGAAAGATGGCAAAAAATACAGAAACGTGCTCGGCGCCTTCTCATGTCAGCTCGACATTTATGTATTCAAATAGAAGGAACCCCCGTGAGTCTCCCAAAAATATCACATCTGTTAACAAGCAGGAATTTGTTGACATCAATCGAATGGCCGCCTGTGGCCCGCCGCGTAAACGTTATCGTCGCTCAAGCTTCCCTTCCAAGAAGCCGTACGACCTCTTGTTTAATTTTACAAAACCAAATGGCAAGAGCGATTTGTTTCTCGTAGTAAAAGATAAAGTATTTGCGGTGGAACGTTTTGACTGCGAAGGAGAGTCATACTTGATTCATACAAACCAAAAAGGGAAGACAGCCGTTCTTGCTAAACTTCCAAAAGTCGAAAGACTAAAGTTGCAAATAAATGACAGAAGAGGCATCAGACCTGAGCAACAAATGGTCAGCGGTCAACTTGGGACCCTACAGCATCCTGCTAAGACCTCTCTTTCTGTATCAGCACTGAATGATAGCTTCTATCCCGAAGACGCAAGGGATACAGCTTCTTCTATTTCCAGTCATCAGCTAGATTCAGACACGATTTACAGAGTTATAAGAGAAAAAAACATACAGGGAAGAGAACAATCGCTGAATAATAATTCCGCAGTCTTATCTAGAGGTGCACCTGTCCGGAATGATGGGCGAATGAAAAGCGATCGCCATCGCTCGACAATGTCTTTGGAAAACAGAAGGCTGCTACTAAAGCAAGTGCTGTATGGTCTAAGGAAAGAGATATCTAATCCCAAGGAAACCCTGTCCGTTGGAAAGCGCAGTCTTCTGGAGTCTGCCGAGACACGAGCCAAAGATCGAGGTATTTATGTTTTTAGTGACACACACTCCACACCCAGATGTGCCTCTTCCTTGTATAACAGAAAAAGAAACCAACAAAGTATCGTAAATCCAGACAACTTTGATAGATATCAAGAGTCTGACGCAGTTTACCATCGACAGCAATACTCCAAATCTGAAGTGGAGAGTTCAGCCAGGGAAACGCATACAGTTGGTATTGGACAGCAAAGTTTCTTCGAGAATCAACCTGCGAGAGAGGCCACCTACGAGAATTTTGCTTGTGGAAACACTATGCCACCTTGTAAGCGTGGGACATTGCACAGAAGGGATTCAATAAATCATATCACACACCCATGTGACTCAAACGAGCGTGTCTTGTCAACATCTGGCTCTGTTAACATCCTGAGCAGGACAAGTGCAAACGACGTGATCAACGTCGCTAAGATTGGCGCTTCTAGCCGCATGTACATGTACGAGAAGTCGCCACACATCAGGCAATTTCGACAGCTTAGTGAACTTTTGCTTGGGGACAGCTATGGAAAATGTAGCAACAATGCAGACCCTTTGGCCGGAAATAGAGCTGTGGAAAGTTTCAGAGTCGCACAAGCTCCACTGACCCCTTCCGAAATAGAACCAGTTCTTTTAAGAATTCCCAATGGAGGTCTGAATAACGATCCCAAGTTTACCAAGAAGAGACCAAACCCAGACACCATCGGTCAGCAGGGAGCTGTTTTAGCCGACACCTGTCATTTACTCAAGCAGGACCGTGGTAGGTCGAAGGCTATACAGCAACTCCTGAATGGGAGAAATGAAATATTTCAGCTGCATTCAAATCAAACCGGACATGTTGGAAATGCTCTTTCCACCGACTTCCTCCAAGGCAGGGAGTGTTCACGCCACAATACCAGTACTGCGAGTGAGCAAAATGTTTTAGGTCACATAGCGTCAGAGGGAGCTGCTCAAAAGACCCCACCGCCACTGGAATGGCAACCCATGCATGCCCTCGTCCGTTTTCAGCAAAGATACCTTGGGGATGCATCACGTCGAGGTACCACAGACGTCGTTAATTCACGCGAAGTTGTTAGGCCATTGGACGCCGAGAGAATTACAGCAGGCGACGAAGGCTGGGAAAGTATGGAACTACAACGTCAAAGAGCTGCAAAGCATATAACAGATATACCAGTCAACGAAGGCCAGGGAAGGAGTGGCAACACTCAGCAGATTGATAGTGGAGCAGTACCCGAGAGTTCTATGCCCTACAATTGCTACGGTCTTCATGATTTGGACGAAACTGAGGATCCCTTTGAAAAAAATCCTAGAAATGATCTCACACTTCGACTGCAACAAGAAAAAGAAAGTCCACCTACTTTCAGGCAAAGAGTTGTAAAGAAAGGTGAATGGAAGAAAAAATGTTCATGCAGCCCTGAGTCAAAGCCGAAGAAAAACATGTCTAACGTTCCCGATCCCGATACTGCTGGTGTTATTGTCATTGACGATGACTGAGAGAATATTGTACGAGTCAAAAACATCTCTAAAGCGTCTATATTTGGAACCAAATAGTTCAAATGTTGAATATTCATAACGTTTCAAACTTTTTATGCTTGAAAATAACAAAACGCGCTCGAGTAGCTTAACTTTTGAAAAAGTCTTAAACTAAGAAGAAAATCTTTTGGAGCTGCGATGTCATGTTTTAATTGAGTTCTGACATTTTAAAGGAACTTTATTTATGATTTAACAAATCACAAAGAAGGATAGGTTAATATTGGTCCTGTTTTATTTTTTATTATTTTTCAAAGAAAATGAGAAAAGTAGTATTTCCTGAAGAAAATAAACTAATTTGGTAACTCTTAAGGAAAAGTGAGGTAACACGGAACATTCTTTATTTGAACTTGAGCCCCGCCAAATTCAGAAGCCTTTTTCTCTTTTGCGCTAAGTTTCGAATTCTCGCTTCGCGAATTTGCAAACTTTGCATCAAGTCGATGTCCTCCTGTCTTCCACTTGGATTATGTATCGTGGGACTTGTAAACCCTTCCTTTTGTTCGTCTTGTAAAATTATTTCGAGCGAAGACCCTTCATGCTCTTTTGGGGTTGAGTTGTTCGCTTGCTCTCTTGGGTTGAATTGTAAATAATCAATCTCTGAACAAAACCCTTTCCCTGAAACTTGTGAGCATTCAGATTGCTTTTCGTCCGTTTGGTGGTATTCATTAGTGCTGTTGTTACCTAATTCTTTTTCTTTTATGTCCTCCAATGAAACTTGACAATCTGTTAGTTGAGGGAAAGGGAAAGATGACAAATATGTAACGGGCACTTTGGCTGGTCACAAAGCCGTTTTGCAAGGCGTTTTTGTGACTTCATGGCAGCACGTTAGGATGAAAGTAATCAGCATTGCAAAAGAATTCGAATTCCCCAAAAAATGCTTATTCCTATTCTTTTATGGGCAAGTTAATAAGCCTCGCTAACCTCAACGGTATGTGAAAGAATTGCGGTTCAAACAAAAAAAAAAACAAAAATTTATCTTTTTGTCTGCCACACGTGAAACGGGTCAATAAGATAAAGTCTGCTTATGAGTCAAGTGACCCGTCAGGCAGCATGAAGCGACTAGGATTATTTCTACTCCCGCTGGATGGGATGTTGATCCATCTCAGGGTTACCCCCAGCATTAAATTCACCGGTAGCCATTAAAACACCCGGGTGAAGAGAGGCACTGTGTGAGTAAAGCGTCTTGCCTAAGAATACAATACAATGTCTCCAGCCAGAACACGAACCCGAACCACTCGATCTGGAGTCGAGTGCATTAACCATGAGGCCACCGCGCCTCCCCTAAAAGGGCCAATAGCTTCCCCATAATTACCTTTTCTTGGTCCTTCATCTTCTTGTGTTTTCTCTCTTGTTTCATTTTCCAGATTCTGAACTTCGTAGTCCAAAGGCGGATCTGACGGTTCGATTTTGACGCTTACGTAACCATCGCCTTTGCAATGTTTGCACTGCGTGAAATCGGGATAGCATAGAACAAATTCTCGCCTGGCTAATATGGCACAATCGTCAGTTGGCGTCACATAATTTTCGTCTATTCTAGATTGCGTGACTCTTTGAACATTATGTGACACTTCTTCCGTTTTGGTATTGATCCCAGCCTCTGATTCCCCGCCTGATAGAATTTTCATTTTCTTCGCCTTGCTGTTCTCTAATTTTTCAGCGTCAGACGTGGAGGCAGACCTTTTCCTGTAAGGAGAAGAAAGATCTAATCCAATTTCCGATGGAAGTCTTAGAAATGATTCATTTCCCCCATTCGACTTTATCAAAGTCAAGCTGCCACGACCCTTTCGACAATTGCTATTTTTCATCTGGATGTCATCATTGTAGGATGTTTTAGATTTGTACCCGTCCTCAATTTTGGCTGCATTGATGGGCTCTCTGCTTTTTTGTTTGTCTTTGCATCCTTGTACCTCGGTGTCCCCACCTAAGCAGGAAAAAATTTAAGTTACCTTTCTTTCGAATTCAAGATCAACCGAAACTGACATGAATTAAATGTATCTTATAATTGTTGCTGGCGGTTGTTTTGCCGCTCAGCGAATTTATGAATCATCCTCTGCAGTAGTTAAATACCAGGTTACGTTGCGAAAATAGCATTACGTTTTTAGGGCAGCGAAAGTAACCCTTTAAACTTTTCAAGATCATCAGTTAAAAGAGAATTTTAAAGTTCCAAGCCAGGCTGGTATGAATAGCCACCTTGGAGATGAGAGTCAGTAGTCCAGTGGTCAGTGCGCTGGACTCTGGGTCAGATGGCCTGGGTTCAAGTCCTGGCTCAGGGGCATGACGTGGTGTCCTTAAGCAAGGCGCTTCGCTCACATTGCTTCGTCTTGTCGGATAAGACGTAAAGCCGTAGGTCCCGTCTCCTGCAGGGTCAGGGGCAGGAGACGTAAATTTCCCATGCACGAGATTACTGTGTAGTGGATGTCCTCCCCGGGGGTGGCCGAGGTGGGAAGGTGAGATCGCTAAATGGACTGAAGCGGCTGCCAGTGGCGCCTGATAAAAATGCTGACGTCCGATCTCAACCTTACGATACTGTTAAGCGCGACTGAATATATCCACATAGAAGTCTGCGCTATATAAATGTAAAAATGTAAATGTAAATGATAAGAAAATGGCTGTTACAGAGACGCAGCCTTAGGGGGGTGGTAGGCTTTTAACATGACATCTATCCTTTCGAAAAGCAGAACCTATCCTAGTTACGTTATGATGTAAATCCTCAGTGATGTCTTTGAATACGTAACATTATCACATGACCCATCCGGCCCTGCCACTCGGTCAATAAGTAGCATTATCAAAATATATCGATAAGAAGGAAACCTGAATTTTAGATTGAGATGAAAGACGTGAAAGAATTAAAAAACGAATTAGATAATAGCCCACCTTCATTCACGATCATTTGATCAGTAACCGCTTTATTATCGGCTACATGAATGACATTTGAGTTTTTGATCAGGTTTTCGTCGCTCTCCCGCTCTGATTCCCGGCTGCTATCCGCTTCCTTGAGCGAGCAACCTGCGCCAGTTTTCTGTTGACTTTTGCCTTGCTCGGCCTTGTTATCCCTCATACCTTCAGTGAGAGATTTGACTTTCTTCCGTAAACCAACAATAGCTCTCAGCATTCGTTTCTTCCTGAAGTCTGACTCCGCCCTATCAAGTCGACTTTTGATAAAACGAATCCTCCTGATCAGATCACGGACATTTTCTTGGGTATTGTCCTTTGGTAGATCATTTTGAGGTCTCTTTTGTTCGGTAGCTGGACGAATGGCGATAGAGCTATGGCTTTCCTGCAAATAAAACAAAGTCCTGGTCGGTTTCTTTACAAATTCTGAAGCTCTGGAAGTTTGAATATCTATCAGATACAAATGAAAGAAGGGTTGCCTTTAGAAAATACGATCTTGGCCTGCTTCGAGCCTATGAGAAATCTTACTTAAAAGGGGATGTTCCTCTTTTTTATTCGCCGGAGCACCGGGATTAATATGCACTTTGCTGGCATCCAAGAACTTGTAACGGGATTCCTAAGAGGCTATGAACAGCTATGCCAGGTTCACCTGCCATTCAACACAACCTAAATGGCTGCTATTGATAATCATCTCACCTTGAAAAACACAAACAAACAAACAATAACAAACAAAAGCTATAAAAACTCGCATGAGAAACTTACCATGTTATCTTTGTGGGATCGTGAAATTTTCTTGAGACCCATACTTGCTCCTGATGTTTCAAACGTCGTATTCGCCGCTTCGAACTGTTGGCTTGTAACGTTTCCAATGCCTGATTGTGAAAGCTTTTCGTCATCGCGTCTCACACTACCAAAGCTACTCTGTACTTTCAAAACACTCTGCTCATTATCATCATCAAGCGGGTAAAACTTCATATGCAGGTTCGGTTTAGCGGAATCCCGTTCCAAACTATCCTGATTGCTTGCTTTGCGACTTTTACGACGTCCAATAGGTGCATCTTCTTGGATAAAGTCAACTGGAGTTTCTCTTGAATGCTTTCTGCATTTCAAGTTAGCTTCTACTTTCGTAGATACATTAAGATCTGTCGATCTGCAACACTCTCGTTGCTTTTGAGTCTGGAGTTCATCTTTAAGTGGAGTTGAGATTGTGGTTTCCTTTGTAGAAGAGTTGTTTTCTTTTTCTTTTCTCAAGTGTTCCTTTTCCACTGGGTTTATGGTGTTAACAGGAGGGTCCATAGGCTCAGTAAGAGTCGGGCCACCGTTAACGACAGAAGCACCCGTTGCTCCTTCAATCTTGTTGAATGCAGTTTTATTCGTAGTCGGCATTAACTCATCTCTTACCACCACAGACATACCAGCTTGAGTATTGCATTCCGGCCAACACACTGATACAATCCTCGGAAAGTTGACATAGTCGAATGCGATCCCAGCATTGAATGTCACCGCAGAGGGCTCTGGGGGGGCGAAAGGATGAAGGGCTGATATGGCAAAGTAAGAATAAAACCATAACATGTTTACATCCAGCAGAGATAGCGAAGAGACTGAGTGGTGGTGTATTTGAAATCTTTTAATTCCAAGTTTTACCATGAATTACAACGTTAAAGTTTAGGATGCATGCAGAAAAGTAAATGAATTGTACTAAATTTTTATGAGTTAGAGGAAGAGATAACAATAATTGCAGCCGAGTGCAGCTTGTTCGTTTTAATTAAATTACCGACTTGACCTGAAAAACGGGTGAAAAGACAAAGTAAAAGTTGATACGGCTTACCAGTGGTTGCTCTGTGAAGGCAATTCAAGTCAGTTACAGCTGAGGCTACCTGGCTCGTCACAGACTCCGGATGACAAGCGTCGCTTGAAGATTTCCTTTCAGTTAAAACGGAAGGCTTCATACCAATCTGACTTCTTTTCTGATGAGCAAAACATACGTTTCTGATGTTAAATTTGAAAAGATACCTACATCAGTACAGAACATTTCCAAATACTCAGGTCTACGACACACCAAGGGTTCAATTTTTCGGACAATCTCACCGGCTTGACCGTGAGGACCGCGCTGTCCTTTCTTTTGTGGGAGACCACTAAATTTTGTAGCACAGCAAAGTCACTTCTTAAAACTGAAACGCCACCTTATCATGATAAATGACATGACCACTGAAAACGGATACATAATTTACAACCCACCTTCTGTATGTTTCTTGCCCCTATACTTCGTTTTTTTTATTCTCTTAAAAAGAACCGTTATGGCCTATGACGTACACAATCTCGCACACGAAAAAAAAACGAAACAAACGGACCCGGCGCGCGCAAGTTAACTAAATAGGAAGACAAGAACACAGCGGTCAAACGATGCGCATGCACGATAGTTTAAAAACAATAAGAGGAATTCCGAACGCATGTCTAGCGTAGAGTGAGGAAGAAAAAAACTGTTTCTAACATAGACTCCTCTTCTCGGTAATGAAGTCAAATTTCGAGTGCTAATTTATTCCATCCTGGACAACGAAAATCGTGTGATTTATTGCTAATGATTTATTACAAAGTTTGGATACAACACGCGCTGGCATTGGTTCAAAGAGGCTGCTCTATCAGGGTACAACTCATGGAGCTGAGCTAAAGCTGTCACGCTATCTTCCAAATTGTACTACGTCCGACCATTTCCCAGACTTCTCTCTGCATGTAGCTTTTATTCGTTGATTGAAAATGAGATTTCGGAAAAGTAGCAATAGAAGAACCAAAAAAAGTTTGGAAACATGCCATGCGCGGTAATTGACGTTATTATCATAGCGTGACAAGAGAAGAAACTGAATCCTTGAAGAGGAAAGAGAATTGACGGTCCGAGTCAAGGAACAGGTTTTGTGATAGGAAAACGGGATGAAAGATTTGGTGGTGAATTGTTAAAAGTAGGCACAAACTTGTTGTATTTGCTACCACGAACTCATCGAGATAGGAGAATTTGTGTTCATCTAATTGAGAAGCGCGCGGACAGGTCAGAGAGTACGAAAGATACGTAAGCATTTCCTGAGGCATAGCCGAGGGCAGATCTAGCTTCTTAAGTGATCATCAAACCTCCCAAGTTATCGTATCTTGATAAACTGATAGATTGGACGCACAAGTCAGTTGCTTTCTGACAATTTCAACGCGCGCAGTAAGTTAAACGTTGCACTAAGAGAAACTCCCCTTGCTACGCTTCAATACGTACTCTCACGTCACCAGTGTGCACAATGAGAATAAAGACGCACTCTCACATAACATCATGAATTTAATTGCTAGGTTACGATAAAGCATATTTTGAGGGTACAGCCAAAACAAAATGGGCATTTGTTGAGCCACTGCATGTACATGATTTTAATTTACTTCTCTAACTTATATTTCTGGCTCTGATATATATTTCACAGTTGAATGATATTTTTGCGCACGCTGATATTACCTTGTTCGGAAGTTATTACTGTAATTCTTGACTGATTAGAAGGGCCGGACAAGAGAATATTTGGCTCGAGGTCATGACGTACGTACGCGCCGAGCGCAAGGATGACCTAGAACGAAATAACTTCCTGTTCGGCTCGACCAAACTCATTCAATAAGCAATTTATCATATGATCAACCAGCTCGAAGTGTTAAAAATTTCGAAAATTTTGTCCCGAAGACAAAGGACGAGGACGAGGACTTACTTGCCTTTAAGCGAATGGTCCGCAATGGACAACGATTACAGGGTAAAAACTTTTCCTTATTTTCGTTGAGTTAGTTCAAGAAACTCATAATTCATCGAGAACTGCGACTCATTTTTTCTTTTATTTAGGCTCTACGGGTTGTTTGTTTTGTTTGTTTTTTTTTTTTGCGTAACCCTTACACGGTCAAGGTTTCTTTCACGATGGAAGCGTTCTATGCTTTTAAAGAGGATGAAACTTTGGCCTCGGGCAGGGAGAGTACGTTGACAAGTTTGGGCAAACAATCATAATCCAGAGCATAACTACCATGAAGAGAGGATTTGCTATTTTTAACTAATTTTCGCTGCACAGGCTTGGTTGTCTTGATGACTTCGCTGACATTTTTGCACTTCTCTTTCGGAATCACCTTCTTCGCACGTAAAACTTGTGAGTTCATTGTAACATCATCGGCGGAATTAGTCGATGATAAATCACCTGTAGCATCTCTAATTTTGCGATCTTGGTTGCCGTCAAAATTAGGGGGATTGGATTTTTCTCCCATGTGCAGGTCACCATGGACAGTTTCCTCTTCCATCCCAGATAGACGAGACATTTTAGGGGTTTCACTCCTCTTCCGACTTGCTTCTTCGGTGAAACTGCCGAGAAACGAGGAGGAATTTTTCAGAAAACTTTCCAAAGTGTCATTCAAATCTATGCTGTTATTTGATGTCTTTTGCATTTTCTCGGATACATCATCACTAACTCGCTGCTTCTTACGTTTTCCTTCATGATGGCTGTCATGTTCTGACAAACTGCTGGATTTTCTCTTCGAATGTGAACTCAGTGCTGAAGACACAGCATAGGTGCCAGTAGCATCACCGAATTCAGCAGATCCTGTTTTGAATTTTTCCGCACGCTTCGATGTATTTAGAGCTGAAGGGTTATCTTCATAGCTTTGGTCTCCGCACAGGTATAGCTCACTTAACCTTTTTCTTAGCTCTGCTGCCTTAGATTGCTCGTTTACGCCATGAATGTCATGGTCAGGAGTGTCATCTGAATGCTTTCCTTTCGTGCGGCGGAGAGAGGGAACAGAGCGTTTGAAGATAGAATTCTTCTTAAAACATACATTTCCTTTGGATATGGTTTGATGTTTTTTGCCGTTTTCTAAGACAGGGCCAGCGTACCTAGGACGAGGAGAACTATATGTACGTGCGTCGACGTTCATTTTCTCTTCAGGCTTCGAAGCAAACTTTACTTTACTGTGTTGCAGCCCAGCACAAGTTCCCCTGCTAAGAACCATCTGATCACAGCATGGATCCGGAGTCCTTTCACTTCGGCATGGCAATCCTTTGTCAATCCGACGGACGCAGTAAGAAGGTTCCTTGTGTTGATAGGTTACAGTTCTCCTGTCGCATGAATGTAAAAAGTGGCAAAAGTTACTGTTCCAATATGCGTACTCCTCTCTTGTCAAGTGTGGTCGGAGAAAAAAAGCCGAGTCAGCTGAGGCTTGGTGAATCTCCGATTTCATCTGAGAACTTGTTGCTAAAATGAGCAAATAAAGAAGAAAGTTTTCCCTTAAATTTTTCGGTCATCATGCTCAACCGATTTTAATTTTCCGCCTTCATATTTCCCTGAAGTGATTTCACTTTCTACTCGTGATTTAAGCTCGTTTGTTTTCGAGAATCTTTGGGCGGTTCCAATTGCACTTTTCGAGCTTATTAGGAGATTTTTTTCAAATACTCGCCGAGAGGTTAAATTAAGGAAGGACACGACACGCAGCGAGAAAAATTATTTTCAAAGATAAATGAGGTTTCACTGGTAAAAAGTACCTTCGCAGTTACTGAACTTCTTTGCACAGCCAGTGCTCAGCCCTCAGTGCGCCTTACCTCTTAGGTAATACGATGAACAAAGATCATGAAACAATACAGTTTAAGATGGTGGGCATGAATATGTTTTGGGCCCGACTCGTATACGTCATGAAACATTCAATTTGTCAAAGAAGTTATTGTCTCCAAAAATTATGTCGCGATTACAATAGTTTTTTGACTACATTTCATCGAGAACTTTAATGAAGTCATTTATCACATAAAACGTGGATCGGAACCAACGTTGCTGAACTGTTTTACGCATATGAAATCTGCTTGTATGAGCAGGTTGTCACTTGGGTCTATGTAATGCAACACAACCATTCTAGTGTAGATTTCTGTATCAAAATGTTTTATCTGGGCGAATTAAGTAGTCAGCTTATTCTGAGGGCTTGATAAAAATCTCGAGGTAATTAACCAGTATGACGTCAAGCGTTTTAAAAGTTGCTTTCTGCCAAGCAGTTTTTTCTCGCAATTTCCACGCCAAGTTCTCGCAAGAAAATTACCTCAGAACTTGCCAACTTTTGCTAAAAGGTAGGCTCGCAATCGTGAGAATTTCGATTCTCATGAAATCAAGGTTTACAACAAACCATACTAATTTTCATGTGAACAAAGTATTAGCATACGAAAAACGCGTGGAACTACTTACTATTAAGACTTCCTGTTATGTTTTTCACGCCACTAGGCATGTGCTTGATCGCGAATTTGTGGCTGAACCCATTGCATGTGTAGGAGCACGAGCTGAAAGGCTTGGAATTCTGCTGGGACGTGCCGCAATAGCGAAGGAGATGCGCATCACAGCCACCACAGCAGGATTGAGAAAACAGATTCATTTCGTTCAGGAAGGAGACACGCTTGTGTTCACAGGTCTTGCAGGAAAACTGAAAGAAACTATATTCGTGCATGTATAATTAGTAAATCAAAGCACCTGCAAACAGCGTAAGCAAGGCAACTCAAGTTGTAATTTCCGATACAAGATAATAGCAGGTTAAATAAAATTTCGACAAAGCGCTAAAGTGCTGACGATCTGAAATTTACCTATCTTTAGGCTTGCTGCAAAATTGACCACCTTTTCCCGCAGAAAGCCGTGTCGAATATTCCGCATAGCCTAGCAAGCTCGTGTTTTGAGCCTGAAAAATGACGCAATGTGCTCTACGGACCAGAGAGATACAATATCGTTGATTACTTCAACTAATAGAACAACAATTTACAACAAATATCCGTTTTGATTCGAAACGGAAGCTTCTGCCGTTTAGAATAAATATCGATTTACCCGAATCTTTTTCTAAACGTTTTCGTTCGTCTGTGATTAGCTCAAACGCAGAGACACACAAGTTTTATATATAAGAAATGGCCTAACTTGCTGACAGTTGACTCGGCGGCGGTAGCATAGCTAGGAGAGCATCTAATCGCAAGATGTAAATTGACTGGAGGGATCAGATCAGAATGTTTTTGCTATATCGACATCAACTGGAGACAGTCACTTAAAGTCCTTGTCTTTGATAGCCGCTAGTTTACGTAATTTCTGTTGATATTTTCTTTTTTCGCACGACATTTGGAAAAAAACATCTATTTCAAAAACTTTTATTTTCTGTGAAGAAAGTTTCTAAAGCAGCGCGTTTGAGTAACTGTTTTCGTTGGATACGTGCGCGCCGTAAACTTTTACCGAAAAATGAAATAAAGAAATGCGTTATCGCAAAAAAATCAATCTTGCTAAAAGCACATCAGTCATGTTTTAAATCTATTTATGTCAATCTTGGCATGGACGATATTGGTGTCCCTTAGTAACCGCAAATATCTAGAGATTATAATCTCTTGTTCGATATCAGAATATTTAACATACAAAGGGGAGCGTAGCTTTGCGGATATCTCTAATGCCTCGATTCATAGCCTTACTATCACTACAGATACAATCGGTCTCGCCTCTACGCTCTCTCGATGGGGTGTTTCTGAATTTGGTTTGCTAAAATTCTCCCAAGCGAAGCAAGAAGAAATGAAACAAGATTATAAACCACAAAAAGAAAGCTGGTAAATGATTTTGCACATTCAAGCTGCACGTCGAGCAGCTATGATCAATTGTGAGTACATGACAAGAATAAATTAAATATGGCACACCGATACACCTGTAGATTTGCGGTCAGGCGTGTAATCACCGTACAGACAGACGGAGACTCTATGATATTGCAGTAATGAAAGAACTTAAATGTATAATTACGGTTGCATGTCGGAAGCTTGAGCCCTCCTCGCAAGAAAGACTGGTCACACAAATGACCGTGGGTGTCAAAAAAGCCGCAGAAAGAGACGCATGCACAAGGAGACTCAAAAAAGAAAATTTCTTCGTTTTGCTTTCACCTCAAATTAAAAAAGAAAAAATTAAATGACAATTATTTCTCTATTAATCTTTAATTCATTTGTTCACCTACGGCCGGCTAATACATTATTGTAACGGTAAAATAGCTAGTTATTCAGAGCAGGAAACGTATAAATGCCAAAATAACTCAAACTTTTTTGCATGGTATCTTTGGTGGAATTATCAAAGTGTTTTCCAGAATATGTCTTGTAAGTCGCCGCTGTTGCATACATGAGGCTTAATTTCTGTCGCTCTTTTGAGTCCACTCTACAGGAGAAACGCGGGCTCAATGACCAGCTGGTAATTAAGCTTAAAATGTATGTTCTGTCTACGTGGACTCGCTTATAGATTATACCGAGGAGCAAATTGGTCCCACTTAGAGCGCAGTACTGAACATTTCAAGCTTAGAGTAAATATTTATTGTTACCACGACCAGGTTATTTTTAGTTGTACATTTAGCGTCTCAGAACTTCTCAGTCAGTTTTATTTTCAGATGCTAGCACACTTTGTCAACCAAACACTTAGGGCCACATAAGGTCTAACCCAAACCGCGGTTTGACGCAAGCAGCGGGCCCCAGTCATAAGAGGGTTGAATTAATAAAATAGTCACGATCCTTACATTGCTAACTTTCGGCCCTCTTGACACTGTTCACAAAAATAAATATTCAGATGAAAGGTTCAGCTGAATTGAAGATGGTTTAGAACGCGGTTTTGCTAAACAACAGCCATGGTATGTTTAAATAATCAGACCTTAGTGCCTGACTCTTGGTAAATTATTTTTCAGTGCAGTGGTTTCCAGTAATATTTTCAAGACAAGCAGATGCGTTGTGATACAGTCAAGTGAAGGCAAGACTTTTTCGTACGGCTAACCCTTTACACCCTCACACTGATCAGTGCCCATATTCTCCATACTGTTCTCTATACATTTTCTAAGGTGCTGACAAGGAGAAATTGTTGAACAATCAAGAGCTTCTTTGGTTGATGATTGTTCTCTTTGTTCTCGCGACCTTAATATTTAAATTCAGGGGTTGTATTGTAGGGAGAAATTAGATGCTGGTCACTTTTAGGGGGTCAGGGGATTAAGAGAAGTAGATCAGTCTAAAACCCAACAAGCTAAATTACAGCTTCTTGACTATGCCTCAGGCTAAATTGTGAATATGGCATCAAGTTCTAGCAAGATATGAAACGAGAAGAATTATGTTCATCAACACTGCTCGGTAAAAATTTTGTCAAGATCAAATAAATAAACAAATTAGCTTATTACATTTTTTTTTTTTTAGCAGTACAAGTACGCATTCACTTTACAAAATTAGGGTATATATAATTCAGTTGAATTGATCACAACTATGCAAACTAACAAAAAAAAACAAATTACGTCAATACTGCTTCCGCCTTCATTGGTAATTTTAATGCCATTTCAAAAGAAACATTTTACAAATACCGACAGAGTCCATTTGAACAGGAAAACAAGAACGCAGCTGTCTGCTCACTTGACTGAGTTTTCAAGAGACTATTCAGTTTCCAACAGAAATCTTTTGTCTTAATTCGCGTCAGTTGAAAACAGGAAGTTGAATCAAATGGAATCCAACGCCGGACATGTCCTCGAAATGTTCTGCAATTTGAGATTTTATCTTAAGGACAATTTTTCAGTAGCCGACTGCTTGATCGGATTTCCTTAACAACAAATCACGCAGATGCATCTGGCAACTACATCGCTCTGACGAAGGGCTAACGCTCGAATTATCAGCTTTGGAAATTCTTTTACGGTGGCTAATTTAAATTATCAACTCACTTAATAACTCTCTTATTAACACTCCCCACTGACGTAGCACCACAGTTTCTTTAGATATACTTACCCACTTTATTCATGAGCTGTGACAAGTTCTAGAACCATAGAACTTTTAGCAGCGATAACTCAAGTATCCTTAAAATGACATATAATGATTTCTTCCTGTTAAAACTGGCATACAATGTCGCAGTTAGCAAACCTATGGCTATACTTGAAAATACTCATGATAATTCCTTTTTTTCGCGGAAATGGTCACAACACGTTCTTGATAAACACACTGATCAACTTTGCCTCAGGGTACACTTTTGTTGTGCTTTAATGCATTGTTCTCGTTAAGAAGTTTCTCTGGATTTGATCACGATTTCATCACTTAAGCAGGTAGCTCTTACAACCTTGAAGGAGTCATATCCGCGTCACGTATAGTCACATACTATCTTAACGCGCATAGTTACTTCATTGACTGTACTGTTACAAACCAAAGGAATCGATACGAAACAAAGTGAAGCAAAGCGATGCAAAGCGAAGCAAAGCGAAGCAAAGCGAAGCGAAGCGAGGCAAAGCGAGGAAAAGCGAAGCAAAGCGAAGCAAAGTGAAACGGTAAAGGACGATTGTGACTGAAACACGCTGCGACTACGCCAGACCTCAACACTGAAGCAGAACCGAACAAAAAATATCTAACCAAGCCATGATATACAACATATCATACGAAATAAAAGAAGCAGACGATATAAAATTAATCAAAAGCGCCTGACGAGAACGCAAAACTAGACTAAGCAAAAAATAAAAGGAACAAACAAAGACAATTACAAAATCCTGGTCCCGACATCAAGATTTGCCCATCTTGAAAAAAATTAGCCTGAATTTTTTCGACTGAAATCTTCATTTTGTAATTAATTCGTTTCAACTTCACCATCCTTTCTAGATATTATGTCTTCCACAACTAATAGACATAAGACTTCTCCTTTTCCTATTTCAGTATGTTGTACTGCAAACGGGCTATGAGGACGGGCAAGCTCATTAGTTCAAGGGTGTTATCTTGCCTTCTATAAATTATTTTATTTTTTCCAAGTCACAAGGAAAAGTATGGCACAAAGAGTTACAAAATAAATCTCTATTTTTCCAACTAACCCTTCGACCTTTTTTTTCCTTATTTAAGGAATTTTTGTATCATTATTGAAATAAAAAATTTCGCCCGGAAACTTTCCCTAACTGACAAGAATGACCAACGCGCTATTTTAAAACTTTATCGTCACTGTTTCCAACCCGACTATCACACTCGGAATACACTTTAATAGATTTTCAATGTAACTGTATTTATCCTTGTTAACCAAAAGAACTAGTACAAATAAATACTTTTTCTTTTGCTATTCAAATGGAATGATCGATCTGGGCTGTTATCATCATAATAGCTTTGTCTCATCCACATACTTCTTATATACGAGTTTAGATCACGTCCGAATTTTGCGAAGAGGTACTCTAACAAACAGTTGCAAAGTAACAAATCTTCTTTAGAAACTCTCTACGGTATCCAGTTTATATTATCAACTCAGTTGATAAAACCAAACTATCTTGTAAATAGTCTTCGTTTCGTTGCTCGACAGAAATTGCGGGTTCTGTTGTATTTTGCAAGTTTTAAGGGTTGAGATCGGTCGCTTTCCGGATGTTCGTTTTACACTGTTTTATGGAAGAAAACATTCTAGCAAGCAGTAAATGTATAAATACTAGGAAGACCTGTACAAGCCTTTAATCCGAGTTTGAGCATACAAGATAGGGTATGGTAAACTCAGTGATGCGCTTTTGACTCACTATAGTGAGTCACTATAGTATAGTTTTGACTCACTATAGCTCACTACTCACAAACGTAAATATACATCTAAATCATTTTCTATTAAACACCTTCTGGAAAAGCAGGATAGAAAAGTATTTCGTAAGGTATCTGGCATAGACCGACACCCTCTAAGGGGACTATTACCCG